TACTGTACCAGCAAAAATCACCTACATGTCCAGAATCAACATGCTACAGCTGCATTCAATCGAGCCACAAAACAAGTTCAAGAGGACGGAAAATGTGATATGCTACACCACAGCTGAATGGCTGGGACAATGAACAAAGAATAATGGGCAATAGCTGTTCTTTGTGGGAGAAGGCAACGAAGAGTGACACATACTCTCCTACACTACATGCAAAATAAAAGCCACCCTCTCCTTCATAGTTTGTTTTATGTGTGAATTAGCATTAGGCATGGTAAACCAGGGCTGCTATCATAAAATCAATAAGTGGGTTTTCATCCCTCATTGTCCTAGTTAATGCTAATGCACATGTAAAACCTGATTGGCATTAAAGAAAGCCATGGAAGGGAGGGTAGAATTCACATGCAGAGAAGAGGATGGTGCACACACAAGCCCACAGCACACTCCCAGTCTCCTAACTGTATTTAGGAAACTGTGAACTTCTGCTGCATTCAGTCATAAAAGAGCCTTTCTTAACTTTGAGTTCTTTCCATTTTAATACACATCCATTTAACATATTAGCTATAATATAATATAATAATATAATATAATATAATAATATAATAATATAATATAATATAATATAATATAATATAATATAATATAATATAATATTACAGTGGTACCTCGCAAGACGAATGCCTTGCAAGACGAAAAACTCGCAAGACGAAAGGGTTTTTGGTTTTTTGAGTTGCTTCGCAAGACGAATTTCCCTATGGGCTTGCTTCGCAAGACAAAAACGTCTTGCAAGTTTGTTTCCTTTTTCTTAAAACCGTTAATACAGTTGTGACTTGACTTCGAGGAGCAACTCATAGCACGCAGTGTAGTAGCCTTTTTTGAGGTTTTTAAAGACTTTGGTGATTTTTGAAGCTTTTCCAAAACTTTCCCCACACCGTGCTTCGCAAGACGAAAAAAATCGCAAGACGACAAAACTCACGGAACGAATTAATTTTGTCTTGCGAGGCACCACTGTAATAGCTCTAATATAGCTGAGAGAACAGGCTGACTAGCCAACAATACCTGTGTAATAAATTCAAGACTGGGTCCTCATCCCCACAACTGGGTGTGCTGGTTATATTCCATGACCCTCCGACTTCCTGGTAATTCTATGGTCACCAGTCCTAATCACCATATGGGCACCTGACCATATGAGACAGACAATTTTGCCATTTGAATCTCACAGTATAGCCTCGTCTGAGCATTCTCCAAGGTCCAGTAACTTACTAGCTAGTTAGCGCACATGGCTTCTGCTGTTGTGCATCTTGTTCTTGTAAGTGGTATCCCTTGATGGAATGCTGGAGCTCTCTAGGGGATTTTTTTTACATATTTAAAGTAAGTCAAATAAGTTAAAGAACCATTAAATGGTTAAATTTCTTCCATCATTGCACGACTTAAGCGTCACGAGATCAGTTGTTCTATATTCATAACGAGTTCAAAGTGCTAGAAACCAACACTGGAAACCATCATTTTTGTTCAGATTTGCACACAAGGACTTTTAAGTTGCACTCCTACTTTGGATGTCATGGGAAACTGATTCACCAAACCAGGTAGTCTATCTCAAGTAAAGAGTGCAGGAGGAGAAGAGAAAGGAAAGAGGAAATGCTCAAACTGGTAGCTTGTTCCTGCTCCATTAAACCATTGTTTGTTGGAGCAACAATGTTACCTATGAACCTGGTCAGAAAGCAATATTATATGTTAGGGGAAATGCTTAGAACAATGGTGGACAATGGGTAGGTTATCAGACACGTTCACTTCCTGAGGCAATTTAATCTGGCTCCTAACAGAGCTATTAAACGTTACTCAAGGCAACAAAATTGTCTACAGTTTCACTTATAAAAGAAAAAAAATGTTTTAAAGTTGTAAATAAATATTCAGGATCCTGGCAAGTCATGAGAAGTTCAGTCAATATGAGTCAATACAGTTCTGACCCTCTGACTACTATCTGGGGAATACAGGGATGTCAGAGAATACAGAAACTGCTTAAGGTAAAGGTAAAGGGACCCCTGACCATTAGGTCCAGTCATGACCGACTCTGGGGTTGTGGCACTCATCTCGCTTTATTGGCTGAGGGAGCCGGCGTACAGCTTCCGGGTCATGTGGCCAGCATGACTAAGCCGCTTCTGGCAAACCACAGCAGCACACGGAAACGCCGTTTACCTTCCCGCCGGAGCGGTACCTATTTATCTACTTGCACTTTGACATGCTTTCGAACTGCTAGGTTGGCAGGAGCAGGGACCGAGCAACAGGAGCTCACCCCGTCATGGGGATTCGAACCGCCAACCTTCTGATCAGCAAGTCCTAGGCTCTGTGGTTTAACCCACAGCGTTTAAAATGTCTACTCTAGCAAAAGACTAGAGAACCAAGAAATGTATCAGTCACATCACTGAAACAAGAAAAACAATACAGTGTCTTAACATTACCCAACCTGGTGCCTTTCAGACGTTTTGAGCTATAACTTCCATCAGACCCAAGCTGAAAGGAGTTGTAGCCTAAAATATCAGGAGGACAACTAGTTGGGACAGGCTGCCTTAAGTAAAATAGCATTTCAAATGAACCTAAAGAAGCCCATGTAATCCAGAGCTTTCCAAACTATGTGTCGTGACACATTAGTGTGTCGGCTGCAATGTGTAGGTGTGTCACACAAACGCTCCCTACGCTCCTCCCAGGGCTGAAAGGGGGTTAGTTTAACCTCTGGTTTGCTAGTAAAACTGAATCACTATGTCATGAAAAGATGCATGTCTAAAAAGTGTATCACCAACATGAAAAGTCTGGAAAGCTCTGATGTAATCTAAGCAAATCAGAAGATTAAAAATCCAACCTCACAATGGGGCTTGTTGTCAAGTAACCATGAATGGAAGTGCAGTCTGAAACAGTTAAACAAATGGAATACTGCAAACAAGGGGGGAAGTTCAAAGAAAGACAAAAATAGGGAAAAAATGATTCAACTCTTCATCCTGCCAACAAGACACTGAAAACCTCTAATTAGCACCATGCATGTCCTCTCCTTTTATCATATTTTGACATTGTTCTGGATTTATCTGTTGTAATACTGAATTTAGCCTCCCTGTGATCATATGACAAACAGCCTTGGAATGCTACTGAAGAACTTCATTGATATTTCTGTTGTGTTACTTTCCTAGAAACACATCAGCAAAGCTGTTCCCTGACTTACTGGTATACTTTTATCTTCATAAACATGTTGGTCTGAGCCTCTAGAAAATGGATCTGACAAGCTGGCATACCAACCTTGTCTGCATATGTTTTTTAAAGATAATAAAACCAATGTTCATTATGAAGAACCACACAATAGCAAAATAGCAACAATTAATCTAATTGTAGCAACCTGTTAGGAAATTTTGGCATACTCAATTATAGAATGAACAGCAACACCACGCAGTGAAGAACACCATAGAATATGAACACATCTGTAAATACATACTTCAAAAATAACATTGTGCATAACAGAATGTTTTTTTAACTGTGTTTAGAAAGCCCAGTTCAAATAATGAGCTATGTTGCAATAAAACTGCAATTACCAGCAAGTGATAACATCCTGCACTTTTATAAACCAAAACAGAACAAGTGTTACTCAACTATGGAAACAAACAGTTTAACAATGGGCTAAATTACAACATAGTTTAAAAAGAACACAAACATTGCAAGAAAATATTTTTCTGTCTGTTGACTGACAGTTTTAATTCACATATTTGTTATTTCTCCAAAAAATATTTGAAGCCATATTTGGGGGGGAAACAGATGATACATAATCCTTCAATTCCAAAATAAGAACACAGATTTTTTTAAAAAACTAAACAAAAACATGTGAAGGAGTGTCAGTTAAAAATTAAGGCGGGTTCAGCTTTTAATTATTACATGAGACTTTACCCATTCATAGGGCTCATTTGCATACAATGCTAAACTATGGTTTAACACCGTAAAGACAAGGCACACAGAGCTGGTGCTCTGCCACCTCTCCTTCTCCCATGTGGTCGGTAATTCAACCAAGTTTACATTCCATTTCAAAGGATCTTCACTTAGCGTTATATGCAACCAGGACTCATAGCTTACAACAAGCAACAGGCATTTGCTAAACAAGCCACCTTCAAAACATGGATAAACCATGATGAAACATAGCCCCATAGTCATTGCAGGAAGTGATGGACTGGGAGGCAGGAGGCAGCCTGCCTGGTGCAAGTTCTCCTACACCTACTTAGTATGGGAGCAGCCTCTTTGTTTCCTCTCACACAAATTAAAATGTAGCTTCTAATAATGGTGACAGTAACCCACTTGCTCAAGTTAAGAGAAGGACTGAAGGATTGTGCAGCTGGACACTTTCATCAAAATGCCCATTTACAACTTGTAGCTCCCTAGGCTGTCCTTGATGGATATAAGATCTAACTACTTATGAGCCTATTAGTAATTGTTAAAGCAATTATTCCAATTCTTATAAAAAGTAACCAAATTTTATGTTGATTATTTTGCCCATTATGAATTTAAGTAAGAAAATCTAGCTTAGAAATAGCAGCCAAGCAGTGAAAGAAGCTAGCTTTTAACAGCTACCTTGGAAATGTGGACTCCAGTGGAACCTGGCATAATATCATATGCCAGCAAACACGAGGTTAGGGAGAAGTAAAATTCAGATATAAGTCACTTGACTAAGGCCACATAATTAGACCTAGTCCACACAGAAAGCAAACAAGGTGACAGAATTCTGTGATAATAAAATGGAGTGTTTCACTTTCAGGTGTAGGTGACAATGTACCATTTTGGATGCCTCTCCAAATAAATAAGTGCATTACTTTGCACTGACGCCCCTTGATGAACCACATTGGCCTATTGTTTTCAAATTACTTTTGGGAACAGCTAAAAACCATTCACAGAAGGCATAACCTCTAGGTGATTATTAGATGCTGATTTAATTAATTAAAGAAATTACACAGATTTTTTTAAATAATCAAACTTACCACTCCGCAACCGGCTTGGCAATGGCTTCAAAAATTTCATCCTGTTTTGATTCCTGATCAAAAACTTTCTGAAATCTGCAAATTATGAACAATTGGTCATGCAAATCTTAAACACTACTTCTTCTTTTTATTTTAAAAAATATGTTTGTAACTAAGTCAATGTTTACATCACTGAACTTACATAACCCAGTACAATGTTTTCCCTGTAGTCTTTACTACACTATGCTGTTGTGCTATTGTATCCACAAAAGACTGTAAACACTGCTGCTTTGACAAACACTCTACAATAAAATCCTCTGATAAAATTATACTGCTTAGAAAAAAGCAAACTGTATTTTACTACTGTCAAGGGGATCAGTGCTTCCAAATGGCCTCACACAGGACTTGTATAATTAACCCAAGAATCAAACAGATCATATAAACAGTACCAATTATTTTCAGTTTTCTTCTACAGAAGAAGAAAGGGAAGTCATTAAGGAAGTTATTTTAGTCGAAGATCCAATCCTTCAAAAGCATTGTGCCCAATTTGTAACACTTAATACAAATCTTTTAGCATCTTAATGTAGCATCATATTTACAGCAGTTTTTTTTAAAAAACGTGACAGCAGCAGCCTCTGCATAAGAATAGGAGAACCCTGCTCTGTGGAACATTTCTGTCAAATATGTGTTCCACCTACTTCTTTAATAGAAACTATTCTGAACTACTCCATTTTTTTCTACTACAAATGTTTTGGAAGCCTTCAGGTTTCTGGTTCTCATGTCCATTCACTTCAGTATAAAACAGAGAGAAATTAATGTTATGTAATGGCTTTGAAATCTAAAACAAAACAAAAGCTACTACTTCATCACTAAGCCTTAATACTTAATTTCAAAATAGTTAGCAAATTCATTCTTCATAGTTCTAGGCTGTTTTAGACTGCTTTCAGCATAATTATAGCATCCTTCAACAATATCAATAACCGTCATTCATTCCCAAGCAAGGAAATTGAAACATACAGAAATGGTACTTTACATTGCAATCTCAAACTCATTTACCCAGAAATAATTTCAACTGAATACTATGGGATTTAGGTTTGGTGGGCCTCATCAGGCCCATGGGATGGAGGTTCCTCACCACTACCCTAGAACAGCAGTCCTTTTAATTCCATGCACATTTATTTGCGTGTAATCCCATTATTTCCAAATGAAGATGCATGCAATCAGGCTGTAAAGGTATCACTTCTAACTCTTTTCTCTCCCTACAGTACACAACAGAGTTGCCTTATGATCACATGGTATAATAGCAGTACTACAAAACAACAAGCAAGGATAACCTATGAAAGCACCACCCTATAACATTCTCTGTGAACACCCGCCCCTCCCTGCCTTTTAGCACAGGGTTCAGTGGGCGGGGGAAAGGATTACAAACTATAAAACAACATGATGGAACATTATCAGATGGCATTTTTGTGTTTTGCCATTGTGCCATTCACAATGTTCAAACATACAACATTCCTAAAATTAACTATGTACCAAGGGGACAAATTAACTTACTTAAATTTGTAGCTTTCTCGTTTGTTATTGACAAATCCATCTGCCAAATCACGTGGCACAATAATCTCCAAACTGAATGCTGATGCCTCATCTTCTTCAACTGAATATATCTACAAAATAAATATGGAGTCTTTTAATATGTTATTTGTATTGGTGAAATTACAATTTATTTATTTTTTTCAGAATACAGCATAAATTACCCTTAGACCTAAAACTGTAGACTCTATGGACAACTTCCAATAGGCTTTTTAAAAAAGAGAATGTATCTAATAGTAATACCAATAATGAAACCAGTAATATCAAGAAGGGTTTATATTCACATCAGTTACCAAATTATACACTAATAAGGAAAATATATTTGTATGGAAAACATTGAAATCTTACACATGCAATGTATAGAGGAATATGGCAGGATAATAAGCCAGATCTTCACCACCTATTAAATACAGAACTGTGTGTGTCATATCAAATGTAAGTTCCAGTGCTATTTTTCTAGAAAAAGAGTTGTTGGAACTCATCATGAACACCTCCCTTGTTCTCTTAGAATGGCAGTGGTGCCCACCACCCGAGAGGTGCTGAAACAGCTCTGGTGAGCTCCAGCTGAAAAAAGACCTGTTAAGCCCTACTCCAACTTCCAAACAAGTCTTGCAGGTAATTACCAGGGACTATGATTGCCATAGTGAGCCAATTAGGGCAGGGGCTTCATGGTGCAGATAGATACCATAGGTTGTTATTTTTTCTGGCAAGTTCTTTGCATTTTAAAAAAACTTGCATAATAGCAGGTAAACCATTTCCTATTAATCATAGTTGGCAGGGGGAATCGAGGAAAGAGTTTCAGTTGCAGAGTTGTCTGCCATTCAACAGTTAAAGATACGCAAATACATAATTTAATTGATTCTACAGAACGTAATGTCATTTATTTATTCACTGTTCTGTACAGTCATACCTCGGGTTGAATGTGCTTCAGGTTGAGTGCTTTCAGGTTGTGCTCCGCGGCAACCCGGAAGTAACGGAGCGCATTATTTCCGGGTTTCGCCGCTCGCACATGCGCAGACGCTCAAAATGACATCACACGCATGTGCAGAAGGTGCAAAACAAGGCCAACGCGTCGACGCGTCTTACGTTCTATTCAGGATGCGAACAGGGCTCCGGAACAGATCCCATTTGCATCCCGAGGTACCACTGTATTTACAATTGATATATGGGGGAATGATCATTAAGAGATGTCCAACAGTGGAATGGACTTTGTCTGAAGGTGGTGGACTCTCCTACGTGGAAGGTTTTTAAGCTAAGGTTGACAAGCCATCTGTGATGTATGATCTGGTTGAGATTCCAGAATTGTAGGGGGTTGGACGAGATGACCCTTGCGATCCCTTCCAATTTTACAGTTCTAGGATTCTATCATCATCATTATCATCATTATAACTTTGCCAAAGCATTCAGAGTGTCACAATCAAAATCCCAACTCCCAAGTATCCAACAACCCATTCTAATGGTGATAGTATATATTGTTACGCATCAATTTATATTCCGTTTAGGGCCAAAACAAGCTGCTATGACGAATATGGGTTAAATTCCCATGAAAACTTACAACCACAGGAGCCAAATCCTAGAGGCCAAGGGGCCAACCCTCAACAAATTGTTTGATTGGGCCAGCCCCCCCCCCAAAAAAAGATGATGGGCGTTGCTGTTCAGTTTGCATGCACCATATCATTTGGTCAATTATGTGGGGCGGGGTTCACCTGCCCCCCCCAATTATTTTATTGAAGTTGGCACCCCTGTTTACAACTTCTACTTGTGTAGGATACAGAAAAAGAAAGGGGGGGAAAACCCAGCTGGAAATGAGTTCTTTGATGAGTGATTCAACAGACCAGAACTTTATGGTGATTCTACTAATCACGTGAACAGAAAGATCGTCAGGATTCGTTCTCGGTGCGCCTGCGACTGCCTAAGGCGGCGCATTCGCTTCTCCGGCATCAGCCACACCAAGCCACAACTTGCTCAGCGGGCCGCCCTCCTCGCCTTCCTCTTCCAGCTCGTCTCCACAGCAGGGTCCCCTCCATCCCTTCCCTACCAAAGGGCGCCCCTCACACGCAGCAGCAGCAGCAGCCACTCCCCCCCCCCGTGACGTCCTGTATATTTATTTATTTGTTCGTTCCGTCCCTCGGACGCAGCTGGTTCGTCCCCGCGCCACCTACCCCCGGCGGCTGCCTCCTGCCGAGGGGCTTGACCCGGGCGTAGATCTGGATCGTTTGCTTCACCATCTCCGCAAATCAAAGCTTTGTCGGGGCGAGAGAGCGGCGAGGGGGCGCTAGGCCCTCCATAGCAACGGTAACCAGGCAACGCTACCCAGCGTGCCTTGCGCCGCAAGCGCGCGAGGTGTGTGTGGGGGGGGGGAGAAGCCTCGCATCGCACCGCGCATGCGGAAAATGAGAGCGCGTTGTTTGCTCTGTTATTGCCATAAGCTGCATTATACTGTATATGTATTATTTGTTGACTGACACTGATAGATCCTCATGTGCGCTGCTTCAAACACAGGGAAAACACAATGGGTTGCTTCCAACGTTAGAACAGACTTAACTGCAATGACTTGGCAGGGCTGACTTAGGTCCATTGTTTTTAATGGGTCTGTTCTGGTTAAAATGTTTCTGGATATACAACAGCCCAATAATAGCGGCATCTGTCACACGCGCACACTGCCTCCTTTGTGCTTCGTCACTCTCGGGTGGGGATTTGCTCTTCCTGAAAAGCAGGCAAAGTTTCCCAGGCGCCTGCTCCTTTCTGAAATTAAATCACAGCCGCCATGACGCAGCGTGCACGGAGCATGTGAGTTATGAATGTGCCGCTTGTGATGCAATCGTTGTGCTTTAAATAATAAATAAATAATAACTATTCTGCCTGCTACACCGGTGTCGGTGCCAGACTATGTTGCGCCCTAGGCTATTGCAACGCACGCACCCGCACCCCCACAAAATTGCCAACTTCAGTTTTCAAAAACAGATGTCTTGTAGCAAAAGTGAAAAGCATAAAAACTTGAAGCTGCTAATTTTATTTTAAATGGCAGCAATAAGTAACACAACAACCTTTGATTGTCTTTCTCAAATGCAAAAGAAAATGTTTTAGCACACAAATCATTTTGAATAAACTTGTGAATTGAGTCTCTTAAACGTTTCGATTTCAGGCACATCAAAATATCACCTTAGGTGCCTTTTCCTTTGCCCACTTTGTCACCGATTCCTTTAGTTTAAGTCAAGTGCTGATGCTCGGAAATCTCCAAAGTGATATATACTTGCCAAGCCAGCTATTCCCTTTTGCAACATTGTTGAGCGTAGGTACATTTTATAAGTCTGAGCTTTGAGAAACTGCATTCAAAATATAAAATAAAAGTAAAATATTATCAGAAATTTATAAGATGTAACAAAAACTACTCTGTATCAAACCATGTCCCTGAAACGTCAGTACTCTGATGTCTAACCCAATGATAGCACTGGCCCTGACCCCACCCACTTCCTAGGTGATATATTGAAAGGATAGGAGAGATCATAAATAGAGAAAATTAGTGGCAATACTGTATGGGACAGGCAGGAAACTGATATACTGTATAGAACTGCTTTAGCTGTGGTTGTGATTGACATTATTGCTCAAAATCAGGCACACCAGTGTTATTACCTGCTGTTCGAGCTATTATAAGGGTTATAAGGCTTTATTTCAAACCAGAATTTGCTTCAAAGTGGTTCTTTTTTCTTGGTGTTATGAGTGGATTGGGCATGTGTGGTTTATTACTGAAGCAGGCAGCATCTTTCTTGGCCCATAAAAATAATGCTTACCATACATCCACAGGAGACCTAGAGCACAGGTTGGCAAACTAAGGCCCAGGGGCTGGATCCGGCCCAATTGCCTTCTGGATCCGGCCCAATTGCCTTCTGGATCCGGCCCACAGATGGTCCAGGAATCATTGCGTGGATCAGTGTGAATCTGATTCTGATCGTCCAAGCTGTGCCATCCGGCGCCCCCCCCCCAACACACACACTGTGGCGGCACCTCCTCCCTCCCGCCTCCTGGCTTCTCCTTGCCCTGTGGAGGAAGGGAGCTGGGATTTGATTGGTACCAGCAGCAGCAGCGTGATCACGTGAGCGGCTGCATTTAAAGCAACCCCTCTCTAGAGCTCTTTTGCACGCCGCTCATAATCCCTCTGCTGCCGCCATCTGGCCCCCCACAAGGTCTGAGGGATAGTGGACTGGCCCCCTGCTGAAAATTTTTGTTGACCCCTGACCTAGAGGAGTATTGGCACCATAGACACAAGAAGGTTAAGAATTGCTCTTGAAAACTGCTTAACAATGAAAAGTTGTTTTTTTTAAATGTAAAGTGGTTTAAGTAACATCACACAGCTTGATGTGTCAAGTAAATTACATTTTTTAAAAAGCAACAACTCCTTCCAACAACTCCCCATCCCAATGACTGGACATCAAGCTTTGTTACATAGCAGCTTCTGATTTTTTTTTTTTGCTTAGAATCAAAAAAGACATTGAGATGCCAGGGTTGCTTATCCTGCACAAATACACAGGCATAACAGCTTTCATTGGGCATTCAAAACTGAGGTTTCTCTGGTTGAATCCAGACTATTGGGAGCTATGCAGGAGATGCTTATCTCATAAGGTGTGGTGCTCTGAAGCTTGGGGGGGCGGCAGTTTCACCTCCAGATTTCTAGATGGGCAGAGGTAGCCACTTGGAACCCCATCTAAAAATCTACCCACAAATTATCCTCTTCTAAAATTAATCCCACTGTTGCATATTTGAATATAAGGATCCCATTCATATTTTTTTACTATAACTTAGCAGCCACCAATAGATTTATGTACTATAAATTTGTCTGTCTCGACCCTTTTTTAAAATGACCTTTTGACAGAAGCTATACCTTGTACCTGTTGCTACTCCATGTGACAAGTCTGATGGTGTTGAGGGAAATTAATGTCTCTTGTTTCAGTCTCAGTTTTCAGTTTCCACAATTCCTTTTTTAAATGCTTTTATTTTCTGACTAAAAGCTTATTTCAAAACGGAAATGATCCAGCCTCTGATCATTTTAGCTGCCCTTTTATATATGTTCCCCTGTATCTCAGTATCATTTTTGAGATGGGGACCAGAACTGTAAAGAGTAATCTGAATGTGGTCACACCATAGATTTATGTGACTTTATATAATACTCCTGTTAACATCCATAAGTCTCCACGTGGCATATATTACACAATAATTCTTTCTCCAATGGATATAAAACTACTTAATGAAGACTGGCTTGAAGGCTTATTGTCTTTGTGTCCAATTCCCAATCCTACTTAACTTGCCTTTTCCTGGGCTTCTTGCCATATCCCCCTTTCCCTATCCTGATGTTATATGGAGTTGAAACATCTACAGTTCATAAATGAATCAAATAAACTGTTGTGTTCACTTGTTATTAATGGGCAGTAAATGCAAGAATGAGCGAGTTAAGCGGCAAAGGAATAAACACATCCAAGCCAGAAAAAAATTCCCAGGGAAATAATTTAGAGTTTTGTCAAACAACCTTTTCTTTGCAAAAGAATGATGATTTCCTAAAGCGGCATTGTATATTCTGGCACAGCAAGCTTTTTATATAATAGTTTTAAGTTTTAGTAACTTGTATCTAATGATCTGAAAGTGATATGGCAAAGATAATAAAATCAAGCTTAGAGCACCCCTATGAGGTCAAGAAACTGGATGAAACAATCTGTTTCCATTAGTGGGTCCTAGATTTGTTTCTCCCACTCATCCTAGTAGCATCCAACAACACTTTTGTAAGCACCAAGAAGTAACAAGTCTGGTAGAACAAGCCCCCTGCAAACGAGGACAAATTGAGACAGCTCGAGTTACGTTTTCTTTCTTCCTAACCTGCCTGTGTGGAGCAGCAGGATTATTGCATCACCTGGAAAGAAGCAAACCACATTTACTTCTAGTCTCCAATACTTGGAGCATTCAATCTTTTCCTATTTGTTGGCAAAGGTTTATGAACTATTGATAGCACGTAATCAATTATTTGATAGACTTCCCTACCAGTATAAAACAAAAGCTGGTACAATATTTCTATTAATGGGTTGGGTAACCTCATACTTACAAAAGGATTACTTCCTTGCAAGTAAAATTAGGGTTCTTATAGTTCTTCCTTTTATCAGAAAAAAAAATCTCATTGAGAATGGGATGTTGAACAAAACTGTGTCGTCTTCAGAAGTCACGCTGACCATAATTTTGCATGACATAAAAAATCTGCAGGGAGCTTTGGACTTCTGCCACTCGCCTCTGCTTCTCTAGGGCAGCTTGATTTAAAACAAAACATACTTAACATTAACCACAGCCCATCATTTCAAACAACACAGCAAACTGTAGTAAAGAAAAAAGAAAAAGCTGATGAACTCTTTGCAGCCATGCTGGGAGAGGAGTTCTCAAGCTCACCAATAATCTTGTTCACAAGTTGCTGTTTCTGGTTCTAAGAAAGTTTATTGCATTTGTACTTTGATGTGCGCTCCCGTAGTTCGGTCCCAGCGCCTGCCAACCTAGCAGTTCGAAAGCACCCCCGGGTGCAAGTAGATAAATAGGGACCGCTTACTAGCGGGAAGGTAAACGGCGTTTCCGTGTGCGGCTCTGGCTCGCCAGAGTAGCTTCGTCACACTGGCCACGTGACCCGGAAGTGTCTTCGGACAGCGCTGGCTCCCGGCCTATAGAGTGAGATGAGCGCACAACCCTAGAGTCTGTCAAGACTGGCCTGTACGGGCAGGGGTACCTTTACCTTTACCTTTTTACTTTCATGTAACTGATTGTTCACCATCCCAAAATCCCCCGAAGAGCCGCACACATGCTCCATTTAAAGGGCACACGCGCTCTTTAAAGGGAGCGCTGAGCAGAGCCTCCCGCCTGCATTCACTCCATAAGATGCACACACATTTCCCCTTACTTTTTAGGAGGGGGAAAGTGCGTCTTATAGAGTGAAAAATACGGTAAACAAAGGAACAAAATAGAGTTGACAGTTCTGTTGACACATAGTGACACGCTAGATAAGCACTAAAATCTATTTCACCCCAAAAATATAGTTCCACTGTCATTATTGACACTGCAATAGTTCTTAATTCTGATTTACAGATCTGTGTACATCACCCAACAGCCTCATAATGTGGTTACTTGATATGCAGTAGCTTCCAACTGAGTTAGTACACTGGATCCACTGAGAAACATTGTAAGCTAGGTAATGTCCTATGATATAAAGTCTGTATCTGAGCTGATGTTTTGCACATTCAAGCCCACACTGGATGTTGTGGTCAAGTGATGGATAATCATGTGTGAACATGCCTC